GGCTAATTTTTTTGTATTTTTAGTAGCAATGGGGTTTCACCATGTTAGCCAGGATGGTCTTGATCTGACCTCGTGATCCGCCCACCTCGGCCTCGCAAAGTGCTGGGATTACAGGCGTGAGCCACTGTGACCTGCCAAAAATTTTTTAAAATTTGCTTATGAAACCATGTGAACCCTATACTTTTTAAATAAATAATTACTGTATTTTTCAGTTTCTCCCAATGTTATTAGTCTGCTTAGAATTACTACCTTTTCTTGAGTTCTTCAGCTGTAATCATTTACAACTTCTTGGAATGTTATCTTCTTCAGTTAGATTTTAACAATAGGGGCATGTGGTTTTATATTAATTTGTTCATTCAACAGATTTCTATTGAATATACACTTTGAACTAGGCTCTAGGCTGAATAATGGAGATAAAATCGATTGTAATATAGGTACAAGCTCTGCCCTTAAATAAGTTTACAGTTTGAAAGACATTGCATTTTGTCACAGTTCTTTTAATTTTCTCTCTACGTATAGCTGTATCTTATTTTCAGTTTTAATGTGTATATGCTGAGTTTTCCCGATTGCCTTAGTTTTTATTTTTAGTTCTTAGATGTTTGTCTTTTTTTTCCTGCAGTTTATAGGTTGTCTATCATTTTTTCTATCAATAGTTTCTAACGTATGATTTCTACTTTGCCTTTATCACCTTCTTCCACCTTTCTTGGGTTTGATTGCTTGTAGGGTTTTTTTGTTTGTTTTTTTAATGATGAGGGCTCAATTACATGTATTATCTTAATCAGAAAATTCTAGTTTTTTTGGTAAGTGTTTTCTTTACTTTTCCTTTGAAGTGTTTCTTCTCCCTTGGCCTTAAAGAACATTAATTTGTGTCTCAAAAGGGACCATTCTCTTTATTTGGCCACTGAATTTTTTGTTTTAATGATGACTTTTTTTGTCCCAGGAAATCTTTTGTGCTAATCCTGATTCTCTGTAATACAGCTGTCTCTCTGCAACTGTCTCTCTGAACTCTGAGCCCAACCTTGGGTCTAAATAAGAAGCCTCCACCTACCTGTTCAGCTCTTCCTCAGTTTCCTCAGGGTCACAGAGATCAGGTGTGCTCATTCGGTCCCAGTGAAAGGAATTAGCCTTACCAGAAAAGAGAACACACTATAAGCCACTGTAATTCAGTCAGTATGGCACTTGTTCAACTCTAGACAAATAGACCATTGAAACAGAATAATAAATCCAATTTACAGTATTTGGGAATATAATTTATGTAAAGATGACATTATAGATCAGTGGGGAAAGGATATATAATTCATTAAATGGCCCTAATATGACTGGCCATTGGAATACCAAGAAAAAAAAAGGATGAGGGGTATAAAGTCAGTTCATCAAGTTGTCTAGGAGACTTACGTGTAAATCTAAGGACAGAGGAAAACTTCTGAGTTGCTAAGACAAGAAAACAAGCTAAAGAAGAGATAAACATATTAAAATATATTGGATCTTTAAATTTTTGTTGTAAGTATACCATAAACAAAGTCAAGAAACATAATTTTGATTTGGAAACAATATTAGCTAATGTTTATTGTATATAAAAACCTTCTTTAAATTGACAAGAAATTGGTAAATACCCCAGTGCCAAAATGGCAAAAAGATATGGATAGGTAATTCACAGAAGAGCACATCCAGATGGCCAACAAACACATCAAAAGATATTTTAATATATCCGTTGTCAAGAAAATGCAAATTAAAATAACAGTGAACTGTCAGTTTATAAATGTTTAAAAGAACTGTTAACACCCATTGCTGTAGAAGAAACTGGTAAGATTCCTCATTGCTGACAGAAGTAAAAACTGTTATAACCTCCTTGGCATGGTGGCTCATGCCCGTAATCCCAGCACTTTGTGAGGCCGAGGTAGGCGGATCACTTGAGGTCAGGAGTTTGAGACCAGCCTGGGCAACACAGTGAAACCCTGTCTCTACTAAAAATATATGTAAAACTTAGCCTGGAGTGGTGGCACTTGCCTGTAGTCCCAGCTACTTGAGAGGCTAAGGCACGAGAATCTCTTGAACCCGGGAGGCAGAGGCTGCAGTGAGCCAAGATTGTGCCGTTGCACTTGCACCCCAGCTACAGAGAGAAACTCAAAAAAAAAAAAAAAAGTATCTTTCCACATCCAATATGACAAAATAAGAAAAAACAAGAGAAATTTAAAATTTAAAACAAAATTAAAAATAATTTTTTTTAATGACATACAAATGGCCAATAAGCACATGAAAAGGTGCTCAACATCATTAGCCACGGGGAAATGCAAATCGGAACGCCACTGACTCACCCAGGGGAGTTCACCCAGGTGCCAAGATTTAGCCAAGGCTCTAGGTCTTTTATTTGTAAGTTTTTTATTGTTGTATTGTTTTATTAGTCTCTGCTTCTTCACTTCTAGCACAGGGCCTTGGTCCACAGTAGGCACTCAATACATACTGAAAGAACAAATGAGTGGAAAAGGAACATGGCAGACAGAATTCTTCTCTACAGGCTCTCTGGAGATGAAAAATACGAACCTCAAGTCAATAAAGTCTGTTGTTTACCCACTAGGAGCAGCTCTCACCCAGGAGCCAACATTCAGACAAGACTCCAGGGCTTTGAGGAACGTCTGCCCTAGCACTAAGCAGATCAACATCTGGAAGGGAACGGCTGTGCCTCTTGGCTTCCCTGGCAAAACCGCTTAAGAGAACCATCCACAGAGAAACGCTGTTTTCCTTTTTGCTGGGCTCAAAAGCTTAAGGGCTGGGTGAAAATCCAGGGCCCTGTGTAACCCACAGCTCAGGACTACTCAGAGACTGCACAGCAGTTCCTGGTGCAGACGAGGCCCCGGAGATGGGTTCCACCCATCTCAGAGAGACTTCCCCTGGAAAGCCTGCTACCTGACAGCAAGTAGAGAGGAGTGGGAGGGTCAGAGGGCTGCCTTCTCCCTAACTTACCGTCCAGACACCGGTTGTTGTACTTCTTGTATGCGGTGATGGCATCGTCCTTTTTCACAAACACCACCTCTGCTACCCCAGGATGGACCAGTCGAGCTCGCTTGAGGGCCCCACACACACAGAAAAGTTCCTGCACACAAGAGGGGTTGGGATTAGGGAAGGATTTCTCACCGCCTGCCACTCACACGCTCTGAAGGCCCTGGGGTGTGGTGGCTCCACTGCAGCTAAACATGCCCCTGTGCCTGAGACTGCAGGGAGGTTCCACGTCAGGTGGTGCTCTTCAGACATCCACAGGCCTCAACACAGCACCAGATGAAGTCAGCAGTGGGAAAGGGGCTGGGTTTACAAGCCTTGGATCACCTGGGATCTCCCAGCAAGCCACCACCAAAGTCTTCAGTGCCCACCTCAACAGGGATAAAATGGTTATGAAAATTTTCTCAGAGAGCCCTGTCATGAGAATACATGTATACAAAGAAAGACAGCTGCTAACATGTCACCTGAGAATCTGTTAGAAATACAAATTCTGAAGTTCTACCCAGAGTCCTGGTTTGGCTGGATTGAAGGGTTTCCCTAGACATAAGACTTTGAGTGATAAAACCAGGAGAGTCCCTAGCAAAACTGGGACAGTTGGTCACTCTAAGTCAGACCTGAGTTTGATCCCCCAGGCTTTGCTTCCTATCTGCTATGGGACATCTAGCAAGTTACTTAACTTCTCTAAGCCTGTTTCCTCTTCTGAAAATAAAAAGAACTAGCTTACTTTCAAGGGTTACTGGAAAGCTCAACAGAGATCATTTTTAAGCAGCGCTTTGCACACATCATTGACTCCAATCTCCACCCCATTTTACAGACAAGACAATTAAGGCCAGAGAGGGAGCAGAATGTGAAGACAGACAGAGCCTGACTAGCACTCACGCCATTTCTTCACCTGCAACTGCCTTCACAAGGTTGCTGTGAGGGCCAAAAGAAGGTTTATGAAAAGGTCCTTGACATGATTTGTTTTTAATGGTAAATATCAAAACAAGATGTCCCTCTGCACCTGTGGGAGACTGGTTCCAGAACCACTCACAGATACTAAAATCTGTGGATGCTCAAGTCCCTGCTATAAAATGCTGTAGTATTTACGTATAACCTATGCACATTGTCCACTATACTTTAAATCATCTCTAGATTACTTACAATACCAATGTAAATGCTATATAAATAGTTGTTATACTGTATTTCTAAAATTTGTATTATTTCTCATTATACTGTTATTTTAAAAAAGTTGAATATTTTCATTCAGTGGTTGGCTAAATCTGCAGATGCAGAACCAACAGATATGAAGGGCCAACTATAAATAGTAGGTGTAATTCCAATTTTATTTCCATTGTCCTTTTAACATTGCCTATTTGGGTAGAAGAGGAGAGAGGATGATTATTACTGGCAATCTCCCCTGAGCGCTGATCATGACTGGTGTTCAGTTTTCCACCATTATATATCTCCCAGGAGTCTGCCTAAAGTGACTGGCACATAGCAAGTACTCAATAAATGGCAGTCGTTATTACGCTTATAAACAGTTTTAATTCTTTCCTTTTTTTGAGACAGAGTCTCACTCTGTCACCTAGGCGGGAGAGCAATGGTGTGATCTCGGCTCACTGCAACCTCCACCTCCCGGGTTCTAAGTGATTCTCCTGCCTCAGCCTCCCGAGTAGCTGGGACTACGGGCACGCACCACCACGCCTGGCTAATTTTTCTATTTTTAGTAGAGATGGGGTTTCGCCATGTTGGCCAAGCTGGTCTCGAACTCCTGACCTCAGGTGATCCACCAGCCTCGGCCTCACAAAGTGCTGGGATTACAGACGTGAGCCACTGCACCCAGCAATCAGCTTTAATTCTTAATGACTTGTCAAGTATTACACAAAACAAGCTACAATTTCCATCCTCACGTGCACCATTCACAGCACTGTCCCTGTAAAGGAGAAGGGCGTACGAGGGACCCATTTCACAGCATGTGTGTGTTTCATAATTAAGATTTAACCTAGGCCGGGTGCGGTGGCTCAAGCCTGTAATCCCAGCACTTTGGGAGGCTGAGACGGGCAGATCACGAGGTCAGGAGATCGAGACCATCCTGGCTAACATGGTGAAACCCCGTCTCTACTAAAAAAATACAAAAAACTAG